ACTAAACCTAACACACTTACCATCTCCACTACCACCCACCACCTCCACTACCATCCACTACCACCACTCACTTACCTCACACCTCTCCTATATAATAGCTTGTAACATACAAATCAATTTACACATCAATCTTGTAAATATACACAACAATCAATATATACATATCAGTCAATAATAATACATCAATTTATAACATGGTATCACCTCTCAACAATCCGAATCGGTTCATTTTTTAGACTATAATGTATAAATCATCCATGAAAAAAATCAATTGATCTAATAATCATATTCACATTATATTTAGTTGAAAAAAAATAATGACAAATATTATTTAAAAGTTAGACAATTTATATTTTAAAAAACAAATATAATAAAACTAATATATCTATAATTATTAGATCGACTTAATTTTATTTTTTATTTATTTTTTTATAAATGATGTATACATTGTAATTTAGATATAAACTATATATAAGACTCGTTCAGCAAGTTTCTCATTTCCATATCCTATAATAGGGAGATAAGAAATCCATCTCAACGACACAAATAGCACCCGTCAAGAGCTGCCTCCTCTTTTGCTTATATAGTTTTAAAAACCAAAGAAATCGAAGTGATATGAACTCAGAATTTTAAAATTTCGAGATATGAACTTCGATTTCAAGATCTGAATCGCTGAGATGAACTTCGAAATCGCTCTGATGAATCACTTCGATTTCTGAGGATTCCATTGATAAGCAACTGAATCTGTGATAATCAGGGTTTAGACAGCGGAGAGGGAGAGAGAGATTATTTGTAAGTGCATCGGCTCAATTTGGGAGTTGAGATTCTCAGATTGGAAACGGGCGCGTGAGACAACACGCATTTGAAGGCGTAAATAAACGCCTCTTATTCATAAAACAGCCCCGTTTCAATTAAAGAAAAATAAGGCGTTTACAAAACGCCGTTAAATATTAAAAATAGTGACGTTTTAAAAAACGCCGTTAAAAAAACGCCACCTAAACCCATATTTCCTGTAGTGAGGGCTGCCATTGATTGTATCAATATTTTGACATGTTTGACATATTAGCATTTTTTTTTTTTTGACATTGATTGGTTCAATGGTTAAGAGGTGGCCTAATAACCTTGAGGTTATGGGTTCAAGTCTTGCGACCACCATTTTGTGCATTATGCCAAAGGTTAGGTGTGTACTTAATTTGTTCCCTCCCAAACGCACATTAATGTGTACTAATTGGGCATTGTTTTAGCATTTGAACATGATTGAGTACTTGGAAAGTTGAAAATCAACATGTTGGTATTCCTGAATTTTAGTAGCATGTCATTGCCAATTCAATGAGGCATGAAACCTTGGATTATTCTTTGTCTCAGATTATGTTGAGATGTGTTAGGATTATAATCTGTTTAAAAACTTACAAGTGAAAGCTTTATCATTCTCTTATCTTTTGTTTCTTTCAGTATTTGCTTGTATTTTTCATATGAAAGAAGTTATGATCCACCCTCCTTTTTCTGATAATGCACCAGATGATCCGTCTTATATATGGAGTTGATCCAAATTTCTATTGAAGCCAGATTGATTAAGGCATCGAGCAAGGACTAATTACAGAATTTGCACACTGCAAGAGGATACCCTCATGCACCAGAATGAAGCAGATCGGACGATGTGGCATCCTCCAGGTAATGATTTTTTTTAAAAAAATTTTTTACAGTGTGAACAACAACCACCACGATGGTCAGTTTTCTCTTCAACGAATGTGAGCAGGTGCCCATGAGATTCACTTCTGATCATTAGCTCTGTAAAGCTGCATTGAACTTCCAAGTAGAAATTACTACGCTCAAAGCTGAAATCACAATGACGACATTTTTCTGCACAGGCATAACATGTGACATGTTCAACTCTTTCGTAAGTCATGTTGAGCGTAAGAGCATGTGTGGAATGAAGGCAGTGTTGGATCTCTAGTGGGATTCGGATGCAAGATTTGTGGAAAGCACTGTGCTCCTTGCAGAGATAGGTTAGACCGCATAGGGGTAGGGTTCAATTTGTTGCATAAAGATCTCCTTCTCTTTGACTTCCAAGGGAGGCTCTTGAAGTGGAGTGAGACTGTGATCAGCATTGAAGCAAGACTTTTGCTGTGGTCATGCCATGTCTAATTGAAGGATCGTGTTACATTTGGTGCATTTATAGAATGGACTCTTGAATTTACTTAGCTCACACCCAAGTTACTACTGTGTCGAATGCCACTTTGTTGCTGCCCATGTTGGTTGCCTTGTATCCAAGGTAAGTCCATAATTAATTTCATCAGTCATGATTATTACAAAAATCTGTAGGTTTATATCTTTCAATTGTGTTCCTCTTGCTGATGCTTACTATGTTTTGCTCTTGCTACCCTCTTTATTGTTTCCATTCCACTCATGATGTTGATGATAACACAAAATTTCATAGGTTGTACTCTCGTGTATCACATGAAACAGAATTGTTTCCTCCATTAGTCTTAAATATTTTATTTTCTAACATATTGTAGCTCCCCCTTCATCCAGTAATTCGAATTTAGATATTGAATATCAAGTGCATACACCATAGGATCAGGCATTGATAAGGCTCAGTCTTCATGTGACAGTATTACCTCCATTGGACTTTCTGCAAAAAGAATTTGGTGATCTACAATAGAAATGAAGGAATAAATAATTAAATAAATTTAAAAAAAAAAATTGGAGAACAT